CCCCTCACCCCCGCTCTTCTTTTTTTTTTTTTTTTCCTCCCCCCCCCCCCCCCCCCCCCCCCCCCCCCCATCTTTCTTCTTTCCGCACCTCCTCTCTGATCCCTCTCTCTCTCTCTCCTCTTCTCGCTTTGTCCACCCCAGGGCTGCTCTCCGTGTCCTATGACGAGTGGGACTACGGCCTGGAGGCCCGCGTTCGCGACGGCGTGGCCATCATCACCATGGCGACCTCCACCATGATGATGGACCGCGGACCTCACACCCTGCTGAAGTCCGAGTGCCACGGGACCCCGGACAAGAAGACCCCCATCTCAGGCAACCCCAACGAAGTGCTCAGGTGAGTGAAGGACGGGATTGTAGAGTCTCACTTGCTACCAGGAAGTGGTGAACTAACGAGTCCCATGATAGAAGATGAGCCGTGTAGTCGTCATCACATGAGGTGGACAGCTAGTAAACAGTGCACCACGTTAGCTGTGTATCTATATAACTTCCCTTTGTTTGCAGCATTGATTAACAATGTGTTGACACATATCTCATATCTGTCTGATGAACGTAAGTGGCTGGTTAGCTTAGCTTAGCACAAAGACTAGAAACGGGGGATAACAGCTAGCCTGGCTCTGGCCTAAGGTAACAAACTCAGCTAACCAGCACATCTAACGCTTATCAAATTGACTCGTTATATCGAGTTGCTAGGCAACAGTTTCCAGAAGATACTGCTCCGCGCCGATAAATAGTCCGACGCATAATCCCCCCCCCCGGAAAAAAACAGGCAATTGTTGCTTTTACACTTTGCTTTTTGTACAAATTGAGCAAAGAAGATAAAACGTGTTATTCAGCGAGCTTTAGAGGAGCTGCCAGGCGGATTCTGTTACCGTCAATGCACCAGTTTGATAATGGAGTGGTGGAGTGGATTCAGGGACGCTGAGGGCAACAAAGGAGATGTTGCTTCTCTAAAGCGGAGAAAAAAAGGCTGCAAGTGTAGGAGCCTTTTATATCGGACTTTGAATATGTATGACTTCAAAGCTGGGACAAAGTTTACATGTCTGTTTAGTAGTTGTTGGCAAAAAATCTATTTATCTACAGCAAGTTAATTGGTATCTGTATCTTTCACATATTCGACAATTGGTGGAGGCATTGTATTGTTTGTGTTCTTCAAAATGAAGACTGCATTTCAAAGTTCCACTTCCTGTTGAATGCTGCCACTTGTCTGCTAAATCATTACAGAATCCGTTATTGTGAGAAACTCTGAGTGCACTGCAGGAATAGCCTTCTTTTTTTGCTGCTTAGCGTGCATTAAAACAAGCTCACTTTTTTTTTGCCCTAAAGCAACCTGCACACATCCCATGATAACGAGCTCTGTGGTGTACAATATGTAATACAGTACGGAGGCCACAGCAGTGGTCTCATTCGTTCACAACTACACTAATGTCTCCACATTTAATGTGGCATGATTTATGGATGCTCAAATGCCACACACAGCAGCTTTAAAAAAAAGGTGCACAGGTTCAGGTGGCGTGGCATCAACACGAGAGTCCTGGTGCGGATCAGCACAACCTCGGACGCAGCAGATGCTGGCGCGTACCCACACACACACACACACACACGCATGCGCCTTCATCCCCTGCAAACTGTGATCATCCTCCCCCCCCATGTAATAATACCCTTCACACACACATAACACCCCTCTTCACATGCCCTCCTTCCTCAGGAAAAATCCGAGCCCACCCCCTCAGCTGTCCGTCTCAGCAGCAGGCCTTTTGAACTGGTTTGCGAGGTGCAGCGTTCGGCGGCGCTTTGCTCCGCGCGCTGCCTAATTGGTCCCAATGGCGTTTCAGTCGACCAACACTGTAGCCCCTGTGTTGTGCTGTGCTCCAGAGCTCAGCACAGCATTATATTCAGGGGCAGTTCCATCCCCTCTGCCTCTCTAAATGTGTGTCGACTGTAGCTGTGTGTGTGTGTGTGTGTGTGTGTGTGTTTTTATTGTGCTAAATAGAGACCGTCAAGGCTAGATGTGTGTGTTTGTGTGTAGGTATTGTAGAGTTTGTGTGTGCTAAGGAGTCTTCTAGGACACCAGTCTGGTTTCCTACTCAATGACATATCACAAACCCTCTGGCAGTGACTCACACTTGTATTCAGACGGACACCAAAGTCTCTTTCTGCCCTCCAGAAGTTTCCACGCTCACAGGAGGAAGCAGACACCTGCCGCAGACGCGCACCTTTTCGGATTTGTCCTGCTCGTGCTCCGAGCTTAACCGCATCCCCGCGCTAAGGCAGCGGAGCTTTGTTGTCCATCCAAGTAAACTCTTCAGATCTCATTTCAACCCCCGCGCGTTGCTTGTCCGCTCCTTTCTGAAGCTTTGCATTTGATTCACCGCTGCTCGCCGCTTCCGAGATAACGGTGGAGTTTATGGCAACCGCTGTTGCTCCAGAATTCAACCCCCCCCCC